CAGAGACATGCTGCGTTAGGCCGAAACTCGTTAACGGGTTGTTATGGTCAAATAAGAAGAAGAATTATGGAGGAAATAAATTAAAACTAAACTCTAACATTCCAACTTTTTTTTTGGTATTAACATAAATTCATATATTTCATTCAATAAACGTTTGGATAACTACATGTGAAAGATACTTAAGCTTCACCGAAGCCAAACTAGAATTTTAATTTGTTTCTACTACATTTCGATAGCCAATGGTTATTGAACTACTGTTGTGTTAAAATAAAGTATCGCTAATAACAAATTATTATGAGAGCAGATAATTGTCAGAAAAGTTTTATCTATATGTGTACTTCTTTTTCTTTTTTATTTTAAATAAAATAATATTCGTTATTTCTGTTTAAAACTGTCTGAGTGCGCATTTGTGTTTTTATATGGAAGTATTTTTTACGATATGCCTTAAATTCGATTTAAAAAATTGGTTATGTAGTTCCGGAGTTTTTTTGTAGCCGAAATGTATAAATAATTTAATTGCAGAATGAGTCGAAAAACTGACTGCAATCAACACACATATTTCAATAAAATCAACAACCGAGTTTGCAGTGAATCTGCATTGGCAGTTCGTTTTTGCAGCCTTCGATGCACATATTCCGTGATGCACTTTTTTTGAAAATTGCACAATGGATAATATTAAACAAAAATTCAAGATATTTTAATAAAATGAATAACATTTAAATAATGCACAAGCGCGCTTTTTTTAACCATTTATAATAAAAATATTAATAGTATATATCGAATTGCTTTTTCGCAATATATAAAAAATATGTTACAAATCAATATTAATTTTTTATTTGTAAACAGCTAACAAATTTACATCTGAAATGGTCATAGACACGGGGGATTGAGGATTCATAGTTAAAAAAAACTAGTTGCAATGAAGAGAATCAATTACAAAATGAAAATTTTTCGTATACGAAAGTGATTAAATGTAATGAATGTATATTTTTTTTTTTTTCATTGCAAATACAATTTATTAAAAAATTTAAATATTATAATATAAATATTAATTAAAAAATTATTCATTAAATATGATTAACACGATCATATTTTTTTAATGTAGCCACGATAAGGTGATTTCATATATTTGTTCAAAATAGATATACGAGCACAGTCCACGTTTGCTACACGGCTACACATATACCTTCTGCTCAAAAAGGGTTTTGTTGTTTGTTAACTACTCCTTAAGTAATAGACCTTTTCCAAAATATTTTTTTTGTTATGTTGGTACACCCTTTCTTGACATATGGTACAAATTTGAGCGTCATCTGTCAATTAGTTAGTTTACAGCAGCTGTTAATATGAGACTATCTTAAGTGCATTTAGCGTTTTTTACTATGCAAAATTCTTGTTGTACGCGATTTTTTGACCAAACACCCAAACACGGCACCACTGTCATCGCTCAGGTACCATATTCGCCAGATCTGGCGCCATGCAACAAATTGCCCCTTCGCGGTAAGCATTTTGAGTCGATTGAATCGGTAAAAGAGAATTCGCTGAAGGAACTAAAAGTCATACCTGCACGGGCCTATGAAAAGTGTATGGGAGTTAAGCGTTGGCATATATGGGTTAAGCATATATGTATCCCTTCAGAAGGAGCATATTTTGAAGGAGATAAAATAAATTTAGAATAAAATTTAAATTTGTGTGCTTTATTTACAAAATCCGAATACTTTTTGAGCAAAAGGTATACACATGTATAGAAAACAATATTACTTATGGTATCAACTGCTTAGTACATAGAATATAATATTGATGTTATAAAAATAAAAATAATATAACATATCAATAATATATAATATAATATATATATTAATACTAATACATATAAAGCCGGTTGATTGGTTGGTTAAAATGATGACAATCCATGAGTCCGTCTTAGTATATGCTCGTTACCAGATCTTTGTCAAGACGATATTGTTATTTGCAGTATTTGCTATTTGAGAACCTCAGAAGTTTGTTAACATTGATTACCTCTAGCTTCATAAAATTATTAAAGAGCGACTTGCCTTGGGTAGAAATTTTCTGGCTCCAGAGAAAATGGCACAAAAGACTTTTAGGCAATTTTAAGCACCAGCTCCCAGAAAGCTACATGCAGCAACTATACAGCTGTATAAGTACACTCATACTTTTTTACCAAACAGCAATGTGTAAGCTGTGAGACGTAAGAATACTGCTGTATCTTTTCTACTTAGAACTAATATACCTGGTCAATCCCCCGAAAAAAATATGACATATATGCAGTATAGCTTTGCCCCTGCCAATTATAAATAATGAACCAATTAAATTGAATACAAGGGCTAAATTCCTGATCTATTGAGGATCTAGAAAGCTCGATCTAGAAAGAATATATATTGTAATACAAAAAATTTAATAATCGTTTGCATTAATTTTGTTGGATGTTATTGATGCTCTAAGTGATAAATAAATTGTTAATAAATAAACAACAATAAACAAAAAAAAAAAAACAATAAATAAGTTGCTGCAAAAACTAACACACAAAAACAAGAAGTCCAATCCAAGTCATGCGCATCATCATCAATGCGGTGTGAGAAGTCGACATTATAAATGTCGGTGAGTGAACCAAAACGAGTCTAGATTTGAACCGCACGTCCCATACTATTGGCAAACGCCAATAGCATAGTGAATCGCAATCTCCCCAATTGAAATGACAGTTCGGATAAAATTATAGAAATGAGGAGAATGAGGGCATCTACGCCAATTAAATGTCCTGACTGTTGCTTCAACAAAGAAAACTCAAATTTATTCATTCTACGGTACCACAATATGTAAGCTAGATTCTTACCAATTACTTGTTGACGTCATTCAGTTTATATATATTTATATAAAAAAAATGTTATATATTTTTCTGAAGTTATTTCTGTATTAACATATATTTATCAATCTCAAATTCGTTATAAAATTTTTTTACTTGTCATATGTTTGCTGGTTTCGGCAGTAATGTCAAGTTATTCTTAAACAACCAGAAGTTGTTCTATCCTAGCATTCTTGCTAAAAGAATACATTAAACTCATTAGCATACTTTACTACTTACGTTTTGTCCATGGATTCTTTCAATCGTTCCACTGTACTTAAGTTGATTTTTTATTTTTAATACTTATATAGCAATATTGGCTTAATATAATAAATAAAAAGCATTTCGCTCTTCTTGTAAGCATACAAATGGCGAGAACATCAGCTCTACTGCACAATGTAGGTTGAACTTTTGATATGTTAATACAATGACTGTGGCTATCCACTGACGTCATTATAATACACCAACGCATTTTCATTTTCTTCTACGTGCATTAAAAGTAAAAATGGTGAATCTGCAAATGTAAGCCAAAGGCGTATGTGGCAGAGAAATACTTCCCAAGTGTCCAAAATGTATTTTAACAAGTTAATATTATATATGAAATCTTTTAACATCATAAACAACTGCACTTTTTATGGAAGGAAACATAATATTTCATGTTCACTTTTACACTTTTATGTGAAAATTTTGGTGTAAGTGCATCCAAGTATAACAACTGAAGTTCACTTATAGCTCATAAACGTAATTTAATGTAATTTAACAGTTTTTTTTAATAAAAACCCAAACGGAATTAAATTAAGAAAATTTAAAGAAACAGTATTTTACTCATTATATCATATTGCTTCACTTAATAGACAGTCTATGGCTTCCGAAATATCCTGTGATATCTACATATATATCCAGGGTATTTTTGACTTATTCAGCAAAAATATGAAAAATGATTTCTTGGTCCAAAATCAAATAGCAATTCCAGCTCATTCTGCACATACATTGAGTATTGTGTACCAGCAACCAGAAGAATGCACAGGCATAAACACCAAAAACTAACTGTACTTCAAAAGAAAAGAAAGTGGTATAATATATGTAATCACTATAAATTTATATATATATATTTATATATTTATAACACACAAAATATGGTCGGATGAATTTGGTATTCCAGTATGCTCATACTAGGATATTCATGTTGTTGGACTGAACACCCCGTCAGTGAGCCATTTTCCAACTTATGAAAACACAACAAAGTACTTTCTGCATCTTCTGAAGTTGTGGAAGACTTTGTTTATTTAGGAACCTGTTTAAATACCAAAAATGACGTCACCTTAGAGATTCAACGAAGAATCATTGTTGCCAACAGATGTTACTTCGAGCTTAGTAATAAGCAATTGAGAAATCAAACCTTACTTCGACAAACTAAAATTACGCTCTACAAGTCTCTTATCATGTCTGACCTGCTGTATGGTGCATAAGCTTGAACAATTACTTAACAGTGATGAGAAGGAGTTAGAAGCATTTCAATGAATGCTTGCCAATGAGTCAATAGATGCCAATAGATGGAATAATGAGCTCTATGAGCTATTCTACAGCAGTGACATAATTATTCGCTTAAAATTAATCGGCTCCGCTGTCGTCGTCATGTCGTTCGGATGGAAGAAAGGGCTCCGGCTAGAAAGGTGTTTGAGTTGGTATCCGTAGATGATATCATCTACCGCTCGGTACTACCAATTAGCGACAACAAGCCATTGATTAGGTTGGCTGACGAAGGCTACTCGACCCGCTGCCAAGATGACTCACATCTGTAATGGTCAACTAAAAAGTAGAAGAATTTTTGATGCCTGTCACACCTATTGAAAATTTTTATAAGTGAACATTTATTTTGGTATTCATGAAAAATTAAAAATTACATACAGATTTATTACTTTCGCTTACTCTACACTGGTCCTTTCTGGAATTAAAAATAAAATACCCGTGGAAATATGAAATGTTTCCATATTTGAATTGATATATTAAGTAATCATCTCCAATTGCAATTATTTATAGAGCGCCTGGCATTAAGTACACATCTACTATTTTGTACTGAACATACCAAAACTGTCAAAAAATGAGATAACAAATGACAAGCAAATAAGTGTCATTACTGTAAAGGAAACCGAAAGAGCTGTACGGCATAAAAAAGGCGACAGAAATAAAACCAAGTAGCATTGATTAAAATAATTAACTGAGTAAGCAAGTCATATATAAAATATTATGAAAGGTTTATTATTTTATTTTTAATAAAAAAATATATGTCATTCAGAATTAAGGTATAGAGTTGTGCAGAACGAAATTTTGCCTTTAAACCCCGGTCATTTCTCAATAGCTACAAGAAAAGGTACAGTAAGAATAATTTTTAACAATACTAGTATTACAATAAAAAATATAGTAATTTACTATATGCCCAGTATGTCTCATACAATTTTGTTGGTTCAACCTGGTATTCTACCAGAGACCCGCACCTTCAGTGATTTCGAAACGGTTAATGAATGCATGGAAGGTGTTTGCAGAATTTTTGAAGAGCATCTCAAACATAATAATCCAAATGCTCCCACCATTACTTATGACATCAGGCAATTGTTTGACTACATGGATCAGTTAGCAGATATAAGCTGCCTAATATATCAAAACTCAACTAAAACTTATGCGCCATACAATAAGGAATGGATAAAGGAGAAGATATACGTTCTGATGCGCCGGGCTGCTGGTGGCACAAACTGAATTGCAAACAATTTTTTCCAAAACTTAATTGGAGGTTCTTTTCTACGTATACCATCATTAAAGAATTACAGGTAAATGTTGCACTTAACATTCAAATTAGAATTGATTTGCTAAAAAAGTTTTGTTTTTCAGAATTTTACAAAGAATCTCCAACATCACAAGAAATGCATGACAGTATTATGCTCTCCAACTGAAATATTTTTAATCTTACTAACTCATTACCACAACCCATTTATGTATCCCATTTTACTGTTCAAATGACCATTGAATAATAATAAATCGATAACAAAATAATCAGTGTTGGTAATTTTCTGTTAAAATGCAAGTCAGGAATATTTTTTTAAGAATTAAAAGTAGTTAAAATAGTAATGGTTTAATAGTAAAATAGCTGCAATACTAACCATAGATTAATTTAATTAATTAAGCATATAATTAAAATCGAAGAGTGTCTTTACTTCGGGCGAAGTATGGGCAATTATATTTAAGAAGCATAAAATAGTTAATACTGAACTTTTTTCTAAATAAAAGTCTTTGTACATAAACAAATTAATTTGTTTTATATTTTATTAAAAATTAAATCTTAACTATTCGGATGCATCGTGAAGACGAAAGCAAGGTATAAGAAGGACTATGGCGATCAAAAGAATATACGAGGTCATGATATTTTCTAATCACATTTTTAATTTTGTTTCTTATTAGAAGCTTCTTAATATCCAAGTAACGTTAGAGATAAAACTTGTACGAAGCAAGAAATGTTGATTAAGTGAAACATATATATAAAGATCGGCGGTCATATATGAAAGGATAAGAAATAAAATTTTATTCTTAAAATCAAAACAAAAACTGTTCTATAAATATAAAAAATTATTTATATCAAAGGTCACAAAAACTGCAACACAGAAATAGTAAATCTAAAATAAAAGACTTATTAAGTACTGCAGATGTAGATCTTAACATATACCATCCATGTTATAACAGCGGTTAAATGACTGAAGTAGAGCTTAGTTTTTTGAAGTGGTATTGGCGACGAATGATATTACATTGGATCTTAGATTTATCAGCATTAATAAAATTCAACTAACTTACTTATCTGTAATATATAAACAAATTAAGTACTATCATCAAAAAAGTCCACGTAATAACCTAGAACCTGTAGATCACTTCGTTTATGTATTCAGTATAGATTCAGCAAAAAACGGTGTAACAAAAGATGAACTTGTGCAAATGAACAAAGTCATTTGCTTTCTAGATTTTCTGATATCTATAAGGATATACCTATATCGCTTTTACAAGAACGTAAGAAGCAAAGTAAGCTCAGTGTCAGGTTAACAACTTAATGTTTAAGCCAAAAATATCAAATTACATTCATATCTATTATATTATTCTCATACATACTCTAGATATATATATTTATACTTTATGACGGTCGATATCAAGAGCGGTAAAAAGCAATATGGAAATAATTTAGACACAGTCTCTGCAAAAGCTCCTGATAATATGCAGACAGGCGCTGAATTGAAACTCCCAAGAAAGCAGAAAACAAAAATGAACAAAAATGACAAGCGGTCAATGTTTGGAAAAAGGAACTGTTAAATCTGGGAAAGCTGCTACGAAATCAAATTATAAATAAGAAATTGTATGTTTTATGAAGACCCCATGTTTTGTGAAGCAGGAGTTAAAGAAATTTTATCATCATCCATTAAAAGTCTTAACAGCGAGTTGATAGCTTAAGTAAAATATGTTTCTCTAATTGAGGCCCTATAATCCAGTTAGGATTAGCAGTTAATAGTAAATGATTCTCTAATAAACGAAAGCCTGTTTTGTAAAAGTTCAATGCACTGAGTTTATATGAGTCTAACCGAAAAAATTTAAAAAGTTTGATAGTTTTATTTAATAATTTAATATAATATATTGATATAATATTTTGGTTTTACTTCAATGACATGATTGCATATATATTTTTCTCTTCTTTTTTTGGATTAAAGCAATTTTAGAAATGTCCTGTCCACTTACAATTTAAGGACATTTACCAAAACTTCGTTTATGTCATGTGTTTATTTGCCTTAATTACATTCCTAACACGATGACAACTTCACTGGTACAGGCACTGGCACTGGCACTGGAACTGGCGGTGGCACACGCACATCTAACTTCGCCATGGAAAGCCATTTGCGTGTCACGCATGTAACGTCATTGTTGCGCCTTCTTGACACTTAGACTAAAATCACACAAACATGCTCGGTAAGGATTTGTTATTGTAAAACTGAATTAATTGCCGCAAAACTCAAAACTCAAGCTGTAGCTGCAACTGCAACAGCGACTGCAACTGCGACTGTAAATGCAAATTACCACTGCAAAGCCTCCTATTATACATATGAGTTAAGCAACGTCGATTTGCAGTGCAGACATGGTTAAAACAATAATTACACTGCAGTGTGTGACATAGCACATAGTGTGTGGAAAATATAATTAACAGTGAAAGTCCAAGTAATATAATAATTTCAGGCAGACATTAATGAATTATTTAATTGAGGCATCGAAAGGCCTGTAAGGCCTGTATGTTAAATAAGTATACATAGACAACCGCAAGCGCTTAGCTTCACTCAAAGCTTAATTAAACAATTTCATAACATGTTGCATTGCAAACAAGAAACCACATTAATTGTTTTTGCATTTTAATTATGGGAAAATATTCTAAATTACCAAAGAACACAAAATTTGTGACAGTGTAACAGTGACACAATGAAAAGAAATACAAAATGCATTCATTATTATTAAGGGTACCTATTACACTTCCTTGGGGGACTCCAGGAAGTTTCCCCAGGACAAAGTTAATGACACAAAAAAGTTACCATATTAGTGAAAGGAACAAAGTCCACTTAATATGGATTCCAGGGCACAGCCGATTTGATAGAAACGAATAAGCAGATGAACTAGCGAGAAAAGGGGCGGCCTCATATTATATTGGGCCACAACCATTCTGCAGTCCTTAGTGAAGCTTTTTCAAACTTAAAACTAATGAGTGGCTGGAAAGAGCAGAGAAGCCAAAGAATTAATGCCGTTTCGATCAAAATTCAGAACTAGGGAGCTACTTATGCTGAACAGAAGTGGTATCCGACTTGTCACAGGATTCCTCACTGGGCACTGCGAAGTTAAAAAGCATCTATCGAATCTAGCTATTACTAGAGACGATAGCTGCAGACTTTGTTGCGAAGAAGAGGAAACAACCGAACACATTTTGTGTCACTGTGATAGCCTTGCCAGACTCAGATTTCGATACTTATCCACTACCTATCCGGATATAACGGAATTAGGCAACATATCTCCAAAGGACATATTGGCATTATTACTGCTACTCGTCTATGGAACTGAAGTGGGTATGTCACAGTAGTCCTCAAAAGATGCAGTGACGCGGAGACAAGTTCCCAACCCATTTTAAAAATCTAATCTAATCTATTAATGAGCATTTTGTGTTGTATTTGAATTAATATAAAAGTGCACTTTTTTTTTGGGCTTATCAGTGATAATGGAAAAAAATAGTGAAACAAGGAGGCTACAAAGATAGCGGCGCATTGATCAAATATTTGAAATTTTTGATAGTTCTAGCTCTACCGAATGCAATACGAAATCGTCAATAAATTCATTTACATAATTTTCAAACTTTCAACATCACTAGTCCATATTAAACAAACACTTATTAATATTGTTTTATTTTTCTTGCAAATTTTTTAATGAACACAGAATTAAAAAAATTCTTTATAAATAATAACTTAATGACTTCTTTATAATTGCTGACGTACCAGTAATTTTCAGTAATTTTTAATTTTATTTTTTTAATATATTTAAATTTACACATTAACATTAGGCATTTTCGGTAGCTCGCAAGTATGGCAAAAAACAGCGAATTGCTGGCCTGTACTGGCCGAAGTGTACGCAAAACAACAATACTATTTTCTCTATCTTAGCTAGTAGTTGTATACTGATCACACATTTCGGCCAGTAAAGAATATTCGTTGAAATTTCCAGTGAACATTCACATTAGTTCGCTTATTGCATTGGTAACACTTTTTCCTTCACTTGCCAAATTTTTTCCTTCACAACTAGGTACTTAGACAAAGAACGTAGTGTAGCACCTATAAATAAATTTATAAATAATAAACAAACTCCTCTGTCATTTGACTGGAATTTTTTATTTTCTTCCAAATATTATTCCCATTAGATCAATTTTAAGATTTGGCACCACTGTGATGCAAGTGGCTTATTCGTTAAGCAGTTTCAAGAAAGTGAGCTTATTGTTGAGTTAGTTTATGATTTCGTTCTAATATAAACACAGCAAGTGAACTTGTTAATAAAACTTTCACAGCAAAGTAGCAGAACCCCAGAAATATGTGCGAACATAAAAAAAAAGACAAGTACGGCTTTGGGTTAGTTGGTTAAGGTGCGCTGACTCTGAGCTTCAAATTTGGCAGGGCACGAGTTCGATTTCTTGTACTTGGTGGGTGGTTAATCAAGAGAATATAATGAAGAATAGCATTTACTTATGTATCGATGTATTGTCCTGAATAAATACCACTAAGTTTTTAGAGTATCTTGTAATTTATAATGCTACAGAAGAAAAGTTGATAAGTTTGATTGCACTTAAAACTGTTGCCGAGTAAAATCGATAATAAATTTCGTACTTGGCATATTCAATATTTTGGTATCTATTATAAAACGAAATCCCTAGCATAGCTTTCAATTTCGAAAGCAGGTTTTTTCATGCTGTTGCGAAGTAATTTTATGTAGGACACAAATTTAACACCCAACATAGGCAAGTTAAACAAGTGTCATATGCTTGCTAACACTGGAGTTGCTCATACGCAATGGTTCACTTAATGGGTGCCACTGTGACACTTTCCCTGCTTTACGTGTAAAAACAAGCTCACTTTTTGTGTTCTCGTGTTCCCGACTAAAGAGTCCTTGTTCAAAATTTGTTTTGCTGTTCTGTTTGACTTTGTGTATTGCATGTCTTCATGACTGCATGACTGCGTGTTTCACTGTGTTACACTTCTTTCATATCGACACATATTTTTTTAATGTGTAATAATAGCGCTTTAAAGACTAATTACTCAATTTTTTCATATATAAAAAATGATAAAAGATTCATCGCTTTTTAGATTATATGACTGTAATTGGTATATTTGCATGTGCCCATGAGTTTCAGATCTTAATCGTCTAATAAAAAACATGTTCGATTTTTTTCATTAACTTCAAGTGTAAATGCATATTATTTCATAAATACAACTAACACCATGCACGTTTTTATTATAATTAATATATTTTATATATTAAGAAACAAAAGATAAAATTGCTATTAATTATTGTTCATTAAAGAACATTTAAAAATACTTATGAAAATTTAAAATAGTAAAACATTTAAAATAGTAAAACATTTAAATTATTTTACAGAAATTAATCTTATTTAAATAACTCAAAAATACATTAATTAAAAAGAAAAAAAATTAATCAAATTAAAGTTCAAATAAAAGAAAGGGCTATATAGCTATGTAACAAACCTTTATTACATTAGAAAATATTATCGAAAACATTGTACCAGGTATACTAGCATAACCCATATTACAGGATAGGTCTGTGTTAAGAGACAGAATGTTGACTCTGATTAGATTCCTTAACTTTGATCTTATCTAATGTCATCGAAAACATGGTACTAGGTGTACTAACACAACCCATATTATAGGCCAGGTCTATCTTATGAGACAGAATATTCTGTTCACTCTGGTTATATTCTTTAAATTTCATCTTATCTTGAATAGGACTACAAAAGTCATCGTTTAAAGTTAGGATGACCTCATAAATCGACATTTTCGCTTTTATTCGTGTCTCGTCTTCAATTCACTTTGGTAAGTAACACAAAATATACTTCCTGAGAGCCAGTACTTCATTTAATTTTTATATTCTTCAATACGATGAATATGACAAACGCTTCAAGGTACATAAAAAGATTTGACTTGCAGCGAGTTTTCAGATCGTAGTCCTACTGACAATGCATAAAGAAATTTTTATGTGATGTAGACATTTCAATTTCAAAAATGAAGTTAGCACAAGGTGAACATAGATGATACAGAGTTTCTCTCTTACAATTTTTAATATTTAATATTTGAAGAGATAAAATATTCTTTAAAATTTTTAACGAAAAAACTATTGTTTGTGATTCACAGAAGGATTATTATTATTGCTGCACTCATTACTTTCATTTTTTGATTCCAACATATAAAAATATAAGCATATTAGTACTTAAATATAAACAATCTTAATTGTTTAAACAATTTTTTTAAAGTTCAGTCAAATTATTTTTAAAAAGCAGCAAATTTCAAGTTCCTACCATTTATGGAGGTTGAGATATGAACATGTGAAAATGTGCCTACAATACCAATTCTCAAAAACACATGGGTCTCCTAGAAAAAAAAACAACAAAATTTTTCCTCGAGATACGAGTCTTTTTATTATATAAAATGAGCTCATAAAAAATATTTCAGCCCAATCGGAGATCATGAGGTCAAAAAGGTGTCCGATTTGTAAAAGAATGACCCATATGCATCATTACTACTATATATAATTAAAATTCATGCTTATTTTACTTTAATATTTTAATAGCAAATTAAATACCTAATCAAACTCCCGCGCATTTCAGATACCATAGACCCTTTGAATTGTTATAAAAAATATCTACGTATTTGCATTTCATATAACGCCAACAACCAAATTTGTATTTGATTTTAAAAATTTATGAAAACAATTTTAAATAAATAATTTACTGTCTACTTCAAGATTACAATATTTTATTTTATTATCAATAAAAACTAGTTTTTTAAATACAGAAATATTGGTCAAAAATTAGCTTTTTTGCATTTTATCGATATTTATTGTTTGATACATCGAATCTCTGTAAATGAAATAATTAACCAAATATAATTCATAATATAATTTTTATTTATTTAATTTAATAAGACAGAAGAAATAAAACAATATAATTTTTATTCACAGATTTTATTGTGTATAACAGTTGGTTAGTTTAGATATCTCGTTTCTTCTGCTTTATCTCCAGAACTTCTTTAATTTAAGTTTCCATATTCGAAATTCAACTACGTACAAATTGAGTATCTCACAAATAAAAAAAATTTAATTTTAGTTCACATATTTCAATTTCAATTTATATATCTAACTTTCATTGTATATATTATACCATATATTATCTAAGATAGTGCATTCTGAAAATCTTGTTTATATATTTATAGTGGTTATTTCAAAAGAAAATTATAAATTTTTTAATTGAATAATTTTTTTTTAAATCATTATAGAATAAAGCATATCAAAATATATTTCTCCTTATAACCACATTTAATGCCTCTCAAATAAGTATAAGGAGTATATGTAAACTAATACACATAACTTTACATTTCATAAGAAATGTATGTGATATATGTATAAAAAATATATAAGAATTGTTTAAAAATCGTGAAAAAAATTCATAAAATATAAAATTTATAAAATATGCATAAAAATATATTTTTAAAATATATATTTTTTTAATAATGTTTTCTATATATACTACTGGTCATCTTTTTGTCAAAATGAAACTTAAACGTTTGAGTAACATTTTTTTAATATATTTTAAATTTTTCCAACTCTCCTACTAATGACTCTCAAAACTCATTTTTTGAATAAAATAAAAAATATAATATGTTTTAAATGTGCATATTATAAGTTATAATAACAACATTATATACATAATGTTTGCAATTATTGAGTATTTATGAAATATAAAATTTAAAAAATATGCATAAAAATATACAAAAAAAATTTTGAAAAATATGTATAAAATTTGTATAGAAAATATTTAAAAAATGTGTGAAATATATATAATAAAAATATAAAAAAATATAAAAAAATGCAAAAAAAATATATAAAAAAAGTATATAAAAAATATATAAAAAATATATAAAAAATATATAAAAAATATATAAAAATATGTATAGAAATGATGTAGAAAAATTTACAAAAAATTAAAAAAAAAATATTTTTTTAATAATATTTTCTATATATATCTGTCTACAGGTCATTTTTTTTTGTTAAAATTAAAATTAAACTTATGTTTAATATTTTTTAATATAATCTATGTTTCTACACTCTTGAGAATGATTCTCAAAATAAAAAATATAATATGTTTTAAATGTGCATATTATAAGTTATAATAATAACATTATATACATAATGTTTGCAGTTATTAGGTATTTATGAAATATAAAATTTTAAAAATTTGCATAAAAATATACAAAAAAAATTATAAAAAATATGTATAAAATTTGTATAGAAAATATTTAAAAAATGTGTGAAATATATATAATAAAAATATAAAAAAATATAAAAATATATAAAAAAATATAAAAAAAGTATAAAAAAATATAAAAAAACTATAAAAAATATATAAAAAAAATATATAAAAAATATATAAAAAATATATAAAAATATATATAGAAATGATGTAGAAAAATTTACAAAAATTTACAAAAAATTAAAAAAAAATATTTTTTAAATATTTTTTTAATAATGTTTTCTATATATATCTGTCTACAGGTCATTTTTTTTTTTAAAATTAAAATTAAACTTATGTTAAATTTTTTTAAGATAATCTATATTTCTACACTCTTGAGAATGATTCTCAAAACTGATGTTTTTAATAAAATAAAATATATAATATGTTTTAAATATGCATATTATAAGTTATAAAAACAACATTATATATATATATATTACTATATTATATAATATTATATAAAAACATTATATATATTACATATATAATGTTTGCAATTATTGAATATTGCAAAATAATTAATGTATATATGTACAGTAACGTATAAGTGTATGTATATGCGTAAGAATATAAAGCACAAGATTAAATTAACATAATAAAAATATTATGTTTAAATTGATTATATATATAACAATAAGATTAATTACTAATATAATTAAGTTATATATATAAATAGAAATAAATGCAATGATTAAAATATGTCAATTATTAAGAAACTAATAAACGAATTAGTATAACTTAATAAAACGAATGAATATAAATTAATATGTTAAATATTGAAAAATGTGAACAAAAACAATAATTAAACATATTAATACATTAATTAAACTGATGCACTATTTAAGTTTGTTTGTTAAAAAAAAATGTAAAAAAAAATTAAATTAATAAATGCACTATATAAAATGCGTTAGATATATAAATATTGAAATAAGTATGAATATTACGAAAATTATTTAATTGAATCTTGAACTCTAGTGAAGAAATCAAAAACTTGTTCGTAACGAATAGACAAAAGCTCCATAATCGAGACTATTGAAAATTCCTTAATGCGGGATTGTTTGTGGGTCAGGGAGTCGGCACACAAAATGGTTACAAGCTGTTGATCACTTGTCTGAGGTTGCAAATCGGAACGTGCGGATAGTAAATAATTGCATAGATTAAGCATTGCAACAAAAGTTCTGCTTTCATAGCCTGAAATGATATATATATCGGTACATATTATTTTTATTGTTTATAAATAATTTTATCAATATTAATAAAACTATTATAAAAATATATTATATATTATTTGTGTATTCAAGGATAAGTAAATAAGAGTGGTTAAAAATTGTAAAACGTGTAATTTTTTACTCAATATCTTTATGTATATGTTCTGAGTAAAAAGTCTCTGAAATTATTAAATTATGTATTAATTAAAATTCTTAATTGTCTGTATGACCTATTAGACAATGCAATACATCTATGCTAGTGCTTGATCTAATCTTTTGTAAACTGTTTGAGTGATGACTTTCGACTTCTTCAAAGAACTTCCTTTTATAGCCCCAGTCGATTTGAATTGTTTTTCTCATTGTTTATAGTTGTAGATTCAGACACAGAAAAAAGTTGCAAAATGGGTTGCAAATTTTCTTCAATTTTAGGAAGATATATAATTCTATTGTCTATTTGGACTATATTTTTCTTTTTTTTTTAAATTTTTTTCTGATTAGTTTTTGCAAATATAAATATAGAAATATATATATACACAAATATAAATAAATTTATTTGGTAGATTTTTTTTAATGGATATATAAAATATATATTTAGTCGTGAGTGTGTTGGTGAAATAAAATAAAATTAATCTAAAATAATATAAATAATAAAATAAATGTAATAAATAAAATTAATATAAATTTTTACAAATGAATTTATATTAACAGTTATGTTAATTTTCATATACATATATATATATCATTTAAACTTACGCAATTTCGAAGGTACGTTAAAAGTTGGTATATGCAAACATTCATTATCCTTTTGGATGCGCAAAAATTGATTGTTAAGATTGACTTGTTGATCTATCCAACGTCTTGCAGCAACCGCGGACCAATTTTTCTTTTTCAAGAAATTAAGATCACTTATAACTGGAATTATAATGTGTAATAATATATATAAGATATTCTACAAATCTGGGTATTGAATATAATATATTGGGATTGAGTTAATATTGAATTAAGCTATAATTGAGTTAATAACAGGAATTTGTTGAAAGTTGGCTCTATTTTACTGTAAAAAGTTTAGGTAAAAATTTTACATAAACAAAAATTGGCAAAAAAAATTACATGCGAGAAAGTTCAGTTAATTAATTATTTCCTGATGGAAGTTTATATTGACAATGCTTTCTTGAAAACACAGTGGTTTAAAAGTAATCATTTCGACACTAAAGATAAAGTATAATCGGCCAAAAAGCATTCATGAACTCAATCTGGATCAAGACTTATGTCAAAAAAAAGAAAATAGAACTTACAGGGCTATTGGACATCATGGAAGCAACAATTAACTAGCGCTGAAGTCATTATGATTACGATTATCCAAAATGAATTTATGCCGAGAGTCAACGAACAGTGACTCGATGTCTAAAATGCTAATTGAACGTTACAGAAAAATTCATTTCCGTGTTGAATTTTAATAATAATAAAAACTGTCTTTTTTTACAAAAATTCCAAGTTCAAAAAAATTATATTTAAAACGTGACTAATAAGTCAAATGGACGCCAAACTTGAATTTTCTTGATGCCAAGATAATATTCTATATTTGATGGAATCAGGACCGTGTTCTGAAATAATTACAAAGTAGCCTTTGACACAATTAATTCATTTAAAAAGAAACATGATTACAAAGCACCCAAAATAAATGATTAGACTTGAATTCCTAATTTCCCATTACAGCAGCAATTTGCTGTACAGATTTAAAGCTATATTGGTAATAGTGGATTGGCACCTTTACTTCATTCACAGTATAGCCCAGTGCTAGCCGTTTCAGATTACAAGCTCTTTTATAGAATCCAGAAAGTATTTTCTGAAATACGATTCAGTTCAATCAAAAGTATCACAAATTGGTTAATCTCAGCAGATAATTAGTTTTTCTGGCAACGAACTAATGCCTTGGAAGAAAGGCAACATGTTATCGCTAACACTGTACTATATTTTGAGTTACAAATTCCTTTCAATAACTCATTTTTTTTATTTTACATCCAATACAAAAAAAATTTATTAATACAAACCAGCTTTAGGCACAATCACAACTGATTTCTGCAATCCAATCAAATTTTCAATGGTGCTTCTGAATTCGATTAAAGCTGTTGTGTCCACAACAATGAAAGGAGTTATATTGACATTAATGGTACTTAGAGACTAGACAGAAAAAATTAAATAAAAATGAATTTTCATAAGACTTTTGAACAAAATAGCATACGTACTTTCTCTTCTAGAGCCGCTGCCTCACCAGCCAAGCTTCGTCTTACTAAGTCTTGGTTTTTCCGCACCAGTAAAGTCTCACGATTTATACCAGTATTCAAAGCAATACTAACACGAGTTTCACATCCCAACGGCAAAGAGTTATTGCCTAACTTGTTTGTCGAATAGTGCAATTTATTTATATTCGAGCAACTCACAGATCTAATGAATCTGCGGCTGGTATTACAAAAATGATAGCCAAATTTTTTATTGCGGCATATAAAGAATCCGAAATCAGCAATTTGTGTTAGGCGTAAAATACATTGTTCCTCTTTTGTTAGGTTCTTTTCGCGGCTTAAATTCCAGTTAATTGACTTTTGTTGAAAATATAATACATCTAAGCTTTTCAAAGCAATGTCCTCTTTTAATGGGATTTTAAAACGTAAACTGATTAATTCCTTTAAGGGTTCGCGCACATTTGGAATATTAATAAACTCTCTCTCAAAATAAATCCTATTAGAAAGCAAATCCAAATTCAAACAATCAGATAATTTCATCAGTTTATTCGTAAGTTCCGGGATACGATCGCAACAGTCATAAAGAACGTCATGATTTTTATTTAACCAAGCCATTAGAATTTTTAATGCGAGTAACATTGGGTTTTTCATAGCAAATTCAATAGTTGTGTTTGGATTATTCTTATTGTATTTACCGATTAAAAATTGTGTTTTATCTTGTTGCGAGCTTTGCTGAACAGCGACATCTGCTTCATTCGATTTTCGTTGGAAATCATCAGTATCAGAAGATAGCACCGAATCAGTAGTGCATATGTCTGATAATGACTCTGCTTCCATGGACTGAGAATCGGACAAAGATGATTTAGATGAGGAATCACTTTGTTTGGATTCTTCATCAATTTGTTTTGTTTTAGAACTGAGTATAGAATCCATTGCATGCAATGAATTCTCATGCATATCAAGTTCATTATTATCACCATTAATATCATCACTCGAATCTTCATCAGTGTTTGGAGATTCTTCCTCCGTTTCGACATTAGAACGGTTAGAAATTAAAATATAACTGTTAGACTTATTACTGTTAGACTTATTACTTGTTGATATGCACTCTAAAAAAGTATGTAAAAAATATAATTATGTATAAATAACCTATATATAAACATATGGTATGTACATACCAGAACTATCACTGCTGGTTTCAATGTAACATGCATTTATATCTGAATCAGCAGAATCAGTATAAAATTCGCTGTTACTTTCACTTGATGTTGAAAAGTCTACTCTTCCATCGCTATGTTGGGAATTTAGACGAGATGGCTTATATTTCTTTCTACGACGGCTAACTCTTTTACGTCGTGGCGCTGACTTGAAAATTTCTTGTTCCTCAATTACGTTATTAGTATTAGTAAGAGAATCATTTAAATCCAAAATTCTATTATTTAAACGCTCTCTGTCTTCACTTAGAAGAGCTTCTTCTTCAGTGGAAGAGCTACAGCTCAAAGAACAATTTTCACGGTCAAAGTTATATGCAAACTTACGCGTGGCAAATGGAGAACAATGTTGTGAATTTCTTGGATTTTCATTTGGGAGAGTAACATTCTTATCATTTAAATCTACATTTTTCTCTTCATAACTTTTAGCATACATTATTTTAAATGTCTCAATTTCAGTATACTTTTTTTCTAATGTATCATCCAAGCTTGACAGACATGCACATACAAGCTCCTCACATATTTTCATTATAAACATAGTCAATGAAGTGATTGCTGGAGATCTGATCATTTTTAACTTTGATAAACAGAAGAGAAGAATTGCAGTAATTTTGAAAATATCAGTCTCGGTGAAACACGATTTATCCATACGAAGTAGTGTGCGGAAGTCCATTAGCACACCTTCACATAGTAAACTAAAGTTATCGCAACTTTTTCCAAAAAAATATATGTTAACAACCTCAAAAAATCGTGTGTAGAAGTTTTTGACTTTAGAATCGTCACATCCTTGATTGGCTTCCGTTACACCAGCACGACTTGCAATAATTTTTAATATATTTGTCTCACTAAAATCAAAGGGTACTCTACATGTTAAAGAATGAATGAAATGATAGATGGCATCCAAATCTTTATTTTTTCCAAAACATAACAAACCCAACTGATTTTGAGCTCTGCCGATATAAGGGTTTAAAAGAAAGGCTTCCATATAGTGCAAAACAGATTTCCTTTTATGTACATAATTTTCAGTTTCAAGATTAAAATCAGAATAGTACCGATGTAAGTCACCCAAACTCATAAGTGCCGAATGGATCATATTATAACCATAACATCTATTATCCGCATTACAATCAATCAAAACATTTGATAAGTTTATATCGGCAGCATGATAAAACTCAAAAAATTTTTCGTCAAAATAAAGAATATCACTTAGAGATAAGTCTTCCATAAGATTATTTAAATTTAAATCAAAAACCTCATTCAATGTTATTATTAGTTGCTTGTAGTGAACAAGTCCACTTTCAAGGTGCCATGCGATCTTAGATAAAAGTGAATGTACTTGATCTGGCTCACCAGCTCTTGACATGCATTGCCAGTAGTTTTTTGTTACCATTATTACCTCGTAGTATCCCTTCCGCCACATAATCTCGTAAACAACTCTACCAACCTCATCATTACCTTTCAACAGAATTTTTTCCGCTTTCTTCACGATTTCAGAACGCAAAGCCTTGAATTCCGTGCCAATTAGTTGAGTAAGAACCGAACTGCGCATCTGCATAGCTTTAAGATCGCATGCGGCGGAATACAATTCACTTTTAAAAATAAAAATGGATAATATGTTTTTAATTATACATTAGATATATGTATTATTATACATAATAATCATTAAGAATAATAAAAATGTTAAAAAT